ATTGATGATTAATGATATGTGGAATGATTCCTCACTCTGGTGTCTGCCACCAGCATTTACGTTTGATGAAAAAGGACTGACCTACCCTGTTTGTTGCTGCAGCCACAGTGCCCGCATGCGCCTTGCACTCAATAGACTTTTCAGAACAAACAAGCGGCTGTGCGACCAATGACTGATAGTTATGAAGCACCTGGCATGTAGTAAACATGCATCAAACTCTGGCTGTTATAAATGTTGACATAAGACACATGCAAACCTGTAAAGAAGTTTTTATGAGCTTATTTGAGCCAAACTGACAGTTGTCAGGAAGCAAAAATCTCAATGGATTGAGAAAATGTTCCTGACAATGACAGTTTGGCAGCCTATTTTATACACTAGAGACCCAGTGCACGAATTCGTGCACCAGTGGGGTCCCTTGGCCTGGCCTGTGGGATCGGGCTGATACCTGCTCTCCAACATCCCCCAAGGGGTCCTGGATTGTGAGACGGCGGAGGCCAGGCTGAGGGACCCCACCAGTACACAATCAGGGCCTGGGAGGGACGCAGGAGTTTGGCCAGCTGGGGAGGGACCATAGGAGAGCTCCAGGACATGGTACACAATCGGCCTGGGAGGGACGCAGGAGTTTGGCCAGCTGGGGAGGGACCATAGGAGAGCTCCAGGACATGTCCAACCCATCTCACTCAGTCCCGATTGGCCAGACCCCAGCAACAAGCTAACCTACCAGTTGGGGCGTCTGCCCCCTTGTAGTCAGTGCACATCATAGCCAGTGATTGAGTTGCCTTAGCATATTATTAGCATATTACGCTTGGATTTGTTGAATGGAGGACTGGATGACCAGACAATTAGCATATTAGGCTTTTATTATATAGGATTAGAATCAAAGGAGGAGCCATAAGGAGGGTTACATAGACTCCATTGGTGGTAAATTAAGGGGGCGAGAGAAAGCAGAGCAGGGAAGCCGCTGGAATTGGATAAAAGTAAAATGCAAAGACACTAATTCTTTTACATTGGTGGGTACAAGAGTTAATAATTCACATTTCAGCTCACAGAGATGGTGTTCAGGGAACAAGGTAGTAATGAGGGCTCTGTGGTCTCTGCTCTGGTGCTGTGGTTGTGCCCCGAGGAGTCCGGAAAATAGAAATTATCCTGACATTCTGAAGGTCTGTTGCCTTAGAGGCAGAAAGACAACAGACAGGCTCACTTAAGGTAAAGAGTGACCGTTGTCAAGGAAGCTACAGGCCTAGGACTTAACTACTTGTTATGACCTGCTTTTAATTAGGAATTATGTTCAGACCATCCTATATAGTTACTTTCAGTTTGTAAGGTTTCATATTGGGTGGAGGGAAGCTAGGGAAAAGTGACAGGCTGCCTTTGCCCACTAAAATGTGCTAGAAACCCAACTGGTTCTTGCACACTCCCAACCTCCACTGATGCAATCCATGTGCACACACACATGCACACACATTTGAAGACTATAATGGCTATTCACATGGTGTTCCTTGGTTCTCTCTTGAGAATGTTTTAGATCATAAACTCTTTGAGGGTAGTAACTATAGCTTTGGCTCCCACAGAAGCTAATGACATGTCTGTGGAGGCAACACTGTCTTGATCCCAGCACCAGTCAAACATACACGTGATGGGGCCAAATACTGGTGATGATATCCGGATGTCCCCATTGGCCACCATGCTGTGATCTGGGGGAAGTTGGCAACTGGTGGGGCTCAGAGTGGAGGTGAAATTCACATTCTTGTGGAAGTGAATTGAGAATGAGTCTCAGGGTAGATGTTTCTGGAAATGATTCTGGGTGATGCCTTGTCTCTCTCTCTACATTAGCATAGAAATCAAGAGCTTCTCAAATTTTCACTCTAATAGCTTTCGTTTAGTTAGAAGTTACTGTGCCTCGGATGCCACACCATGTGCTTTACAGACATAATTTCATTTAATTCCTTGTACTCTGAGGGCTCGTAATCAGCATTGTCAGTATCTTAGAGGAGAGCACTGAGGCTGGGATTAATTTGCTAAAGGTCACAAACACCAGTACAAGAAAAGACCAGCACTGGCAGCAGCCCAACCCGATGATTCCAGGGCCTTAATTCATTCAAAAAATATGCATTGAGCACTATTATGTGCCACGTTTGTTTTCTGGTGGCAAAGAATATATTATAAAAGTCCATGCTTGTAAACTTAGGTTCTGTCAGGAGGAGACAAACCATAACAAACAACAAATCTAAACACTAAGTGAATCATGTGATCTGCTAGGGAAGTGATAGTGAGAAAAACAGGGCAATGCCAAAGGATGGGGGATGGGCTGGAACTATGTAAGGGCAAGGGGAAGAGTCTGTGAGGCAGGTTTGCAGTTTTACGTAGGTGCTCAGAAGGGCCTCCGTGATTAAGTCACATGGGGAAAGAAGGAAAGACTTTAAGAAGGTCTAAATTATACTGTGTTCATTCTGCTTCCCTAACAGGAATGGATGAATAAGTGAGTACAACCACTACCAAGTAAGTACCTGCTATGGGTCAGGTGCTGCGCTAAGCACTATATCCACAATTTCCCACTGAATTTTCTTAATGATTCTATCACAAGAGCAACTTTGTTTTTCAGATGAGGAAACTGAGGTTCAGAAAGGATAAGAATATTGCTCAAAATTATTCAGTTAATAAATGATGGGGCTGGGATTTCAGCTTGACTCCTTCAATTCCAAATCCCCTGCTCTTTGACCACCACCATGCTGATGAGAAGTGGGGAACTTGGGGGTTTGGACAGGGAGGCATGGCATTGAGCCCCCCCTGGTCACTCCCTCAAGGGCAAGGCTGCTCTCCTGCTGGGGCTGGGTGTTCACAACTGGAGGTGCCACAATTGACCTATGTTGTTCCCTCCATGTAGCATCTGCCTTTTATGTCCTCCTGTTTCCCCACATGGTTTTGAAATCTACTTCTTTAACAGTTAGAGCAAACAGATGTGGAGAAGCAATTCCTGAAGAGATAGACCACTGGCAAATGTCAGAACACACGTGGTTTCTGGAAGCTTCCCAGGGGGCTGCTTTTTCACACAGGAACAGTGGCACCCCAACCACTAGAGGTAAGAGGCTAAGCATCTTTCTAGGGTGCTTTTGAAGGAACCAGTCATAGACTTGACAGTCTTGTTCTTGACTTGGCAAGCGTGGCTTTCATGGATGATCTCCCCCAAGTCTTACCTAATCTCACACTGCAGTTTCTCTTTCCAATGGAGATTAGGATCTCAATGGTCTAAGAGGACGTTACTTGCACAATACAAATCTCTCCAGCCTGTAATGTATTTGTCTCACAAGGGTAACAATGCAGTCTTGTCAAATGACATGCACTTGGACGTCTGCGAGCGAAAGAAGTGGGTCTCTTGAGACTGAGGCGTGAATGTAAAATGACTGATGTGTGAGTATCTGAAAAGTTAGAAGCACCATGGAAATACACTTTGGAGATAATAAGGAAGAGGAGGAAGGATCTTTTTTTCTGGTCAGCCCAGAGTTTCACAGCCTCAGTCTACCCTTTGATCCCAAGCCAATCCTAAAGCATAGACTCTGTGCTTTGTACCCACGGTACATACATCTATTGAAAATTTATATATAACAATGGCAACTAGTATTCGTTAACATTTTTATATTCTGAAAGCACTGACTTGTTTAATCTCATTCAAGTGACAAAACAATCCAGTTAATGGACTGTGGTGATTTAAATCCTTTTTTCCAAATGAGAAAACTGAGGCAATAGAAGTTCAATGGCTTTCCAAGGTCAGAGATGATGAATGACAAGAGTGTAACTCAAGCCCAGGTGCCCTGAGTTAAACTGTTATATTTCCGTCTTGACAAGGGATGGATGTTTAGTACCAGATGCATTCAGAACACTAACAGTATGATCACAATCTACCTGTCTCTGTTTATTCAGGGTCCTTTCTGTCTCTCTCTTCCTCCCTTTGTCTCAACTTAGATTATTTCAGGGTGAAATGTGCAGAAAAGCTTCATTGTAAGGTGGCTTGATGCAGGCATTCTGGATATCTGGGGATCTAGTGTGGGTTCTTGGCTTCACACAGGAAAGAATTCAAATACAAGACAACACAGAGTCTAAAATGAGGGTGAGTTATTGGTGAAGAAGTGGGACAGAGAGTGAGTTACACCACAGATCACGCAGCCCCTCTTTAGTGACATTTCCTTCCTTTATTAAGGTTAATTTAATCAGGGGTAGGCATTTGATAAGGGGGGGTGTGTTCAGGATTTTTCTGGTAAATGGTAGAGATTTCTGGGAAGAGCTCCACTGGCCATTTTGTGTCCTTATGTGGGCTTTCTGTGCGTGGGGTGTGGGGTGAGCTGTTTAGCATACTTATGTATTACAGTGAGCACGTAATGAGCCTGGGGTTACCATAAAGTGAAATTAGTTACCATGTTGGATGGAGCTGATCCCTGTGGGTTTTAAGCCATAAATCTGGTGGGGGATGGGGATGGTCTTACTTCCTTGTTGACAGTTCCTGTACTATCGATAGCAGCTGTTTCACCACATACACGATCTCAGTCTCATCTACAGTGTGATCCTGTGTCGGAGACTCCAAGAGAGACACTGTAATGAGACCTTAGTGAGGTACTCTGGGGCTCTGAGCTGGCTACATGCCCTGGTACCTCACAGGAGGTAAAATTCTCACTCAGAGCAGCATCTAGGAAGGCCTCCCATGACCCTTGGGCCCACACAGAGGGAGAGATAATCCAGGTCATGCAGAGTCAAGGCCAAGCCCTCATCCCCCAAGGCTCTTCCTGGTGAGTCCTTTGCATTCGTCACACTGTGATGTATTTGTCTGTCCAATATCTGTCTCCCCTTGACTGAGCTATGTACAACATAAGGACCAGGAGGACAATGTTTGCTTTGCTAACCACTATCCCCTTGGTTCACAGCACAGTCCCAGGCACCTGGGAAGCACTGGCAAATATGTGGAAATGAAGGATTCATGGAGTAACAATAGCCTATGTCTTTTTCCCTAGGAACGCTGCGTTTTGAAAGAAGATTCTAATCAAAGAAGATTCTTACCTCATTAGAATTCACATGGAAGGAGTTCCACATGGAAGGCCCGGTCTGGAGTAATTGTGAAAAGTGCATCTTTCCAGCGTTTCTCGAATGGTACTCCATCATATGCCTTGACATTCAATCAGTCTCATTACCAAAACCAAGGGTGGCTGGACCTCAAAGAATGGGAACTCTGAGGAAGCTGAGAAAAAAAGCGTCTGGGATGTGATTTCACTTCACCCAAATCTGTGAATCTCTGGTTAGTCTCTCCTGAATGCAAGGCCTACGAAAAGCGGTCTTGAGTCACAGCCTGGAAGGCCGAGTTCTTGTAGGACAAAAATAATCCCAATCAACTGCTGGCCCTGCTGGGTCCATCTGTTATTGGAATTAGGTCCTTCTTTTCATTTTATTCAAACTGAAGAAACTTTCTGGCAAGGTGTCAGGTTTCAAACAGAAATGTCAGCCAAGGGCTCGTGAGGCCAAGGTCTGAGCAAACTTGAATCAATTTATGCTTTGGGTAAGAATTCACTTGGAATTTCGTGGTCTGGTGGGTCCATTTGTGAAATGCTCCTCATTTGCAACTGCTGGGCTAAATCTTGCAAGGAGCTGGGTATAAAGTCAACATCAGAGGTCCATGTGACTTCTACCCAATGTGAGGGTTAGCAGTAAATGAGTTGCGGGGCACACTAGAGTGATCTTCCCCAGCATAAGAGCAGAAAAGAACTGGGACATGTTCTAAACTCTAATTTAAACCTTGCTCTATGTATGAACCAGTCAAAACTAACCCTATTGATGATAATAACAGCAAGAACCTTTAATGAATACGTACTATATGCCAGGCTCTGTGCTAGGTACCTTACATTTACTGATTAATGAATCCTCTTGATAATTACACAAAATGGATTTTATTATTTTCTCTATTTCATAGTTGAAAATAAAACAGAGAAACAGAGCTTCAGAAACATGCACCAGCTTAAAAAATAATTATCCTCACCTGAGGATATGTTTTATTGATTTTAGAGAGAGAGGGAGGGAGAGAGAAAGAGAGAAACATTTATGTGAGAGAGAACCGTCGATTGGTTGCCTCCCATTGGCACCCTGACCAGGAATTGACCCCACAACCTTTTGGTGAATGGGACAATGCTCCAAGCAAATGAGGCACTCGGCCAGGGCTGCACCAGCTTGTGGCCAGCAAAGACCAGCATTTGGACAATTTGCCTCCAGAACATCTGCTCTTAATGCTTGTCAGGAACTGACTGGGTAATGAGCCCACATGCAGGAATATAAATAAGCTCACTGCAGGTGTAGTTGAAATATCACACCCTGTACAGCACTTTTCAGAACTCAGACTCCATTTTGGTGTCAAAGATATATAAGCCTCCTAGAAAAACTTGATTTTTTCCCCTCCTAGCTCTCATATCAAGAGAAAGTATTAAGATAATTAACTGGAAAATCAAGTCTCCAAGTCTTTGTACCTCATACCAGTACACTGGACTGGCCAACATTCCTCCTCATCCCATGGGATGCTGAAGACTTATTTAAATCACTTTTTTTGCACTCTTAGCATTTGGGTGAAGATACACCAGGGATTGTCTAGGATTCAGACAGCTTTGAAGATCAGCATAAAAAGCAACACAGCAGTAAGAAGAAGCCCTGATGGGGGCTGGCAGGCCTCAGCCGCCCACTAAGTGACTTATGACTATACACATGGTCTTTGCAGCAGGCTTGACTCAAACCCAAACCTAATCAACAGATATATGAAAAGATGCCCAACTCCAGGAATAGGGATGGAAATGCAAATTAAATGACATTTTTCACATATTAATTTGTCGAAAATTTCTAACTTGGATAATATCAATCACAGCAACAATGAGGAGAAACGGGTACTTCCTGGTGATGAAAATATGCATTGGAACAGTCATTTTGGAAGTATTAAAAATGTACACCCCCTGTGAGCCAGCAATTCTTTTTTGGTATCTACCACTAAGAAACGTTTATACATATTCATAAGAATGTGCATTGCACCATCATTTGTGCTGTCAAAAAACTAGAGATAGCATAATAAATCCATAAAAAAAGCATAATACATCCATACCACGCAATGTTACACCGGCAGCTCATAAAAAGGTAGATCTCTATGTCCTGATAATAAAAATTCTTCAGTAAAAACTCACACAACATGGTGTCATCCAATGCTATTAACACACCCCCAGGCATACACACATGTATAGAAAGAAATGGAAAAACACAAACTCAGAGGTGAGATTAGCTCTGGGGAAGCTTCAGGGATGACACAGTGGTCATGTGTACCACCCAACATTCATTCACTCAGCAAGTACTGTCTAGAACATTCTGTGCCAGGCACTGATGCTGCTTTGTGATCAAGAAAGCAGACAAATGTCCTTGCAACCATGATTGTTTTGTTATGTATGCTTATAGAATAAGAATGTACTCATATATAATTTGTGTAAGTAAAAATAAAAGCAAATTAAATACACATTTTTATATTAATAAAGCAGCAAGTGACTATTTACTTTGGCTTCTGGCAGTCCTTGTGAACAGTCCCAGCCATAAATCACTGCTATGGCTACTGTAATCCCTAAAGGGTTCCCTTTGGGTGGTTGGCACAGACAGGGGTGCAGTGACAGCCTCGCACAGCACAGACTTGCACAGAGGTTGTTCATTCCTTCCATTAATATTCCTTGGGAGCATCATTAGGCACAACATATGAGTAAATCCCCATCAATTATATGCATATTCACCAAAAGACATACACGGGAATGGTCTTAGCATCACGATCACGAGCAGCCCCCAAATGGAAACCACCTAAATGTACTATACTCACACAAAAGAATACTGTATGCCAATGAAAATCAATGTATTAAAACCATATGCAACAATGTTGATGAAGCTCTCCAATATAGTGTTGAATGAAGGAAGCCTGGTACAAGAATCATCTCCTGCATAATTCCATTTCTATGACATTCAATGACAGGCACAGAGAACAAACAACACTAGAAGGCAGGATACCCACTACTCTTGGCCGGGAGGAATATACAGGGTGCATTGTGGAGACTTTGAGGAGTGCTAGAAATATTCAGCTTCTTGCTCTGTGTGCCAGTTATGGCGAATGGTTAGTTTATAAAAATTTGTTGAGTTTTACAGTTATGATTGATAACTTCTTTGTACGTATATTGTACTTCCTTCAATAGTTTAAAAAAAATTAAAACATAAAACCCTAAAATCCAATCTGTGTTTTTTGAATCTCATCTTTGGCAATCACATGCCTTCTCTGGACTTCAGTTTTAGCATTTATAAAATGGGAGCGGGGTTTGCTGGCTGATCTGTAAGGGCCCTTCCAGCTGTATGGTTCTGTGTATTACGTCTTCCATTCCAATTTCTGAAGCAATGGAAAAAAATTGAGAATGAGCCTTGGGTCATTTGTTATTAGAATTTATAGAAGGCTTACAATGTCACACATATCCCATTTTCAAGGCATTTGTTGTAAATTAAAGCTACAACCAATGAACCAGGGAAATGCTGTCTTCCAGGAAAATGCACATAGCTAATTCTTTCCGCAAGTGCTCATGGGATAAGTGTGAATATGCCAAATGCTGCTTCTGCCAAGCCCCTTCCTGTCATGCTAATTCATACATCCTAACTCACATAGCAAGCAAGAGACCAGGCTGTTCCTGGGAGGAAGGAGGCAGCTACCATGCTCAAGACCTACCGCTGTGTGAATAGGCACTTCTTCTCTGAGAGGATGTGGTTCATGATTTTCCTCTTCTGGCCACTGGAAGTCCTTGAAAGGCACCATCACAGCTTGTACCCATTCACAACAGGAAAGTTTGACATCCACAGATGATCTTGGCATGAGAGCAGGAAAAGTCCAGTTCTGCATGTCAGCTTCTATATTAGAAGCAGGAAATAATTTCTATGGTGTATGTAGAGCCTGTTGTATTCTTCACACGAGATGTTGGGCTCCAAAAGGGAAGCTTTTCCTATTACATTCATGCCTCGCTGACATTTGCAAGACAGGGACCCCAAAGAGATACATTGTGTTAGCTCTAACCCTAAGGAAAGGTGCTTTGGGAGTGGGAGACAACCTCTGGTGAGCAAGCTCAGGTAGGGGTGTTTTCCTACCTGTTTAGGGAAAGCTGGGCCTCACATGGAGGATCAGTTCTCACACGAATGCCAAGTCAGCAGCTACAAATAGTCAGGCACAAAACCTGATAAGGGTCTTAGGTCATCTAGATTGGTACTTCTCAAATGATCAGAAGTGAAGGACCAGTTTTATTGCTTTAATTCTAATCATTCACCTGTCAATATAGTTTTAAAAATATAATAAAAACAAAAGGACTAAAAATGGAATAAAGAGATAGGCAAAATACAAGCCCTAGTTTTTTATTACATTACTAGTGACCCAGTGCACAGATTCGTGCACATTGAAAGGAAATTAATTAGAAGGTTGCCAGTGGGGCGGGACTGAGTGAGATGGGCCGGACATGACCTGGAGCCAACCTCCTGCAGTCCCTCCCCAGCCAACCACACCTGGTATGGTGACATGGCTCGAAGGGTGTCTGTGGAGTGAGCAGGGTCCCTCCAGCAGGTGGGGTCCCTTGGCCTGGCCTGCGGGGATTGGGCTGAAACTGGCTCTCCGACATCCCCTGAGGGGTCGTGAATTGTGAGAGAGGAACTCTACAAAGTTGCTGTTGTACAGGGTGTGGAACGTAAATACAAGTGTGCAGATTCAGGGCTGAATGTGCCCAGCAACAACATAACCCACAGCAGAAGGTGGAATCACACAGCCCTTCAAGGAATCAGGCTCCCTTCTCTCTGGTTTCAGGGTCACTGCAGCTTGGCAGCTCCTGCATTGAGCATCTGCCCCCTGGTGGTCAGTGCACGTCATAGCTACCAGTAGGATGGACACTTAGCATATTAGCTTTATATATATATAGATTCTGGCAAGTGGCTATAGAGTTTATAACTGCTTCTTGATCTAGATGTGTTTTTGAAAACCTGTTGAGCAGTATGAATGTCTACACATCACCTACATCCCCATTGTGAGCCAGTGGTGGTCTGTGGATTTTAGGAACACTTTGGCTGGAGGCTGTGTAGCTTGCAAGGGTACTCTTCTTTGGGAATAAATAGTTAACACAATGCTCAAAATAGGGGAAAAGACAGAGAAACAGGATATTGTGATGATGATATAGACTTAAGAGAAAAGGATGGAAGAACATGTAGGAAAGTAAATTTCTCTCAGAAATCAAAATTTTAGTGATTAAGAAATTGTTGGTGATGATGAGAGGAACCTGCTGTTTTCCTAAAAGTAGCACTAAGGGATGTAACTGTGAAATGCTTCCTCTTTCTGGTGGCCTTCAGGCTAATAGCTCCTGCTATAGATATGCTGATTAACTGGAGGAATTCTGCTTGAGTCTGGAGCACCCCCTTTAACAGGGAAGAGGTGAGAAAATATGCACCATGTAGTGATTCCAGAACCTGCTCAGATTAATGGGGGTTGACCAGGAACAAAGGGGTTTAGAAATTTACCTCTTTTTCTAGGACCCCCTCTTTCAATTGCCAGGCTATCTACAATCCCAACCCACCTATTTGCCTCACCCATCCTACCTTTGATATCAGAAGAAGTGGGGAGTCTTCATCCCCACTGAGTGCTACTGTGAAATATTCCGAGAAAAGGAATTTTCTGAGATTCACACAGAAGAATGGGTGATTTTTACTTGCATGGAATTAAATCCCTGAGTTTCCAAAATCCCATTTTCTTTAGTCCAGTAATAGAAGAAGTATAGCTGGGGTTTCAGTAGAGCTAGAAGCAGAGCCAGTGTCCAGAGTTTCCTTTCCATGTTGGAGACAGTCCAGTACAGCGTCAGGCTAGTTGCAGTCCATTAGTCCATTGTGTGCATGTTGGGGGGTGGAGTTGGGGGGGTGGGGAGGGCAGGAGGTCTGCATGGCCGTGGGCCACACAGAAGAATGCCAGGAAGCCAAGCATTAGCCATAAGCCAAGTGTG